TTTTCAGGAGGCAATCAGTGGATTTCATCAGTTTCTATTTTACCCTCTCAATCTAATGTATCAGGAAAGTTTTCCTTAATAATTTCTTGAAATATGATGTCTAAGCTTTTTTTTTTTAAATTACCTCTCTCCTGGATCTATTTTCCAGGTCAGTTGTTTTTCCATTGAGAGATTTCATATTTTCTTCTATTTTTTCATTCTTTTAATTTTTTCTTGTGTCGTGGAGTCATTAGCTTCCACTTGCCCAGTTCCAATTTTTAAGGAATTATTTTCTTCAGTGAGCTTTTGGATCTCCTTTCCCATTTTGCCAATTCTACTTTTTTAAGGAGTTGTTTTCTTCAGTGAATTTTTGTACATCTTTTTCCATTTTTTGTGCTCCTTTACCAATCTATTGACTCTTTTTTCATGATTCTCTTGCATCATTCTCATTTCTTTTCCCAATTTTTCTTCTGTCTCTTATTTTATCTTACCCTGTCCTTTTTGAGCTCTTCTAGGAGTTCATTTGGGGCCTGAGACCAATTCACATTTTTCTTTGAGCCTTTGCATATAGGTGTTTTGACATGTTGTCCTCTTCTGAGTTTGTGTTTTGATCTTCTCTGTCACCATAGTAACTTTCCATGATAAGGTGTTTTGTTGTTGTTGTTGTTGTTGTTGCTCACTTTTCCAGCCTCTTTTGTGTCTTAATTTTATGTTAAAGTTATGCGTTCCTCCTGGAGTGAAGGGGGTGCTCTCCCAAGCTTCTTTCACAGGACGCACAGGGCTTCCCCCCTGGCCGGCTGCACCAGGGGTGCTGGACCTTGCCACTGGCCTACTGTGCCAGGGGCATGGGGCCTTGCTGCTGGCCTGCTGCCCTGACCTGCACCAGGGCTCAGAGCCTTGCTGCTGACTTGCTGGGGGACAGCCTGTTGCTGGCTTACCTGAATACTGATTGCACTGACTGTACTCCCCTTTGACAAGTGGGACAAACCTTTCCTGATGACCTTCTAAGTTGTCTTAGACTGGAAAATTGTTTCACCCTGTCCTTTTGTTGGTTTTGCTGCTCCCAAATTCATTTTGAGGTATTATTTTATAGTTGTTTGGAGGTAAATTTAGGAGAGCTCAGGAAAGTTTCTGCCTTACTCCACCAAAGTGGTCTTTCTACGGTGTAGATCTCTCTGTGTCACTTCCACACTCAGTAAAATCTAGTGGCTCTCTATTGCCTCCAAAATCAAATGCAAAATCCTTTGTTTGGATAAATAAGTGCTTGTTGCCTTGCCTCTGTTTGGCTTTTAAAGTCCTTCATGATTTGGCCCCTTCCTACCTTTCCATTCTCCCTACATTTTCATCCTCTCTGTAAGATCTGTGATCCAGTGACACCGGCTTCCTATCTCACTCTAAGAACAGCATTCTTAGAGCACATTTAAAATACACAGTTCATTTGTACTGACAATGCCTATGCTTGGAATGTTCTCTTTCCTTTTCTCTACTTCCTGGGTTCCTTGACTTCTTTCAAGTCTCAGATCACCTGCAAGAAGATTTTTTCAGGCCCCTTAACTCTAATGCCTTCCCTCTCAGATTTTCTTCAATTTATTCTGTAGATATCTTGTTTTTAGCATAATTGTTTGCCTAAAATTTTGAGTTCCTCAAGGACAGGAACTGTTTTTACCTTTATTTGTATCCCTAGTAAAGTAAGCACAGTGCCTGACACAACAAGTGCTTAATACATTCTTGTTGGCCTGTTGACTTAACTGTCTATTAGTTGTCTTCATATTTATCCCTCCTAAATTTCATCTTGTCTGATTCATCTTATCCTTTCAGCCTGTGGAGATAATTTGGAGTCTTGATTCTGTCATCCAATGAATTAGCTATTTCCTCCAGCTTCATATCATCAGTAAATTTGACAAGTGTATCTTGTACATGTTCATCCAAGTCATTCAGAAAAATGTTGAAATAGGACAGGGCCAAGTATAGAGCCCTGTGACTTAGCACTAAAAATCTGCTTCCAGGTTGCAACACTCAATGGGTAGGGTTGTTCAACTAGCAACAATTCCACTTAATTATACTTTCATTTGACATCTATTTCACAAAGATATTGTGAGACTCTGTCTCATTCACAAGGATATTGTGAGAGATTTTGTCACAAGCTCATCACTAGAGGTCACTCAGATAGGAAATAAGTAATAGAACTGAGATTCAAACCAAAGTTCTGTGACTCCAAATCTAGCACTCTTTCCTTCACACCATCCTTGTTCTATACTGTTCTTCCCATTTTTTTATACAGATAATTTAAAGTCTGAACTCATTAGACTTTGTTGAAATCAAAACATGCTACATTGACAACACTTTGCCAGTACAATAATCTATCAATGAAGGAAAATAGTTTCATTTGTCAATGTTTATTTTCCATGATCACTGCATACTTTTCTAAGTGCTTAAGATCCATTTGTTTAATTCTCTGTTTTAGAATTTTTCAGGGAACAGCCTGGAACTTACACAAACTTAAATGTCCAGAATCCCTCTTTTTTTCTCTTTTTTTGAAAATTGAAGATATTTCTTAAAATATCCCCTGTCTTCTAGAGCTTTCCTAATTTCTCATTTATCAAAGCATATTAACAGTGGTTCTGTTATTACACTCATACATTCTTTCAGTACTCTAGGATATAAATATTCTGTGCCTGGAGATGTTAATTGATTTAAAGCTGTTGGGTACTTTATCTTCTCATATATTTGGGGCTCTAATTTCATCTAAACTATGTTTGTTCTATCCTTTCAATTAAAAGAATTTTCCTCGATGAAAAAAATGGAAGCAAAATTGGGGCTTGAGTGCATCTGTTACATTGCCTACCCACTCCTGATGAGCAGTGGACCTGCTCCTTAGTTCTTATTCTTTTTCTTGGTTCAGATATAGATATTGTTGTCCTTACCATTTTCTATAAACCTCAACTCATTTTGGCCTAATCTAGCCTTCCTGATACTAATTTTAGCAGGTTTGTGCCACTCTTTTGTATCCAAAGGATTACAGGATTTAGAGTTAAATGGAATCTCAGACCATTTCCCTCATTTTATTTTATTTTTTTAACCTAAGAATTTTTTATTGTTTTTATTTTACAGCCATCTATGCCATGAATTCATAGGGAATAGGTTCCAACAGCTCAGGTTCCTTGCCATTGGTTCTCACAAAATGTGCTTCTCTGGGTGGAGCAGGCTGGCGCTTCAGTTGAACCCAAGTGCGTTTTTCTTTGGCTTCCTTCTTCTGATCATTTTCCTTTACCTGCTTCAGGAAACTATCTCTGTTCTTAGAATGCTTAATATGCTCAATATGCACATTAATTCTCTTGGCTAGAATCTTACCCTTAACCTGTTTGTTTACAACAGTGCCTATAGCATACATTATAGACCCGTCCTGCTTTGCCATGGTAACATTTGTGGGGCATTCCTTGCTGAACCGTGCCAATACCCTTGATATCTACAATATCACCTTGCTCATATATTTGCATATACATAGCAAAAGGGCCTAGAAAACGTGTATCGTGTCTCTCTCCTTTTTCCTTTTGTGTTCGTCATTTTGGCAACTCACTCAAACGCTCTCTCCCAAGCTTCCCTGGAAAGGAAATAATACGCCTTGATGCAGGAGCCACACGAGCTCTGTGTACCTGGAATATGGCGGAGCCGGCGGAAAGGCTCCCTCATTTTATAATTGAGGAAACTAAGGGCTGAAGAGGTTAAGTAACTTGTTGGGGGGCAACCAAGGAAGTGAGTAGTAGAACTCAGATTCAGATCCAGGCTGACTCCAGGCCCAGAACCCTTTCCACTACACCCTACTTGTTCTCTACCTCTCTTTCCATTTCTTGAACAGATGAGTCCATCAGAAAGTTCCTTGTCACAGGGTAGGGTGTGTTAAGTGTGAAGTGAATGATACAGACAGTAAGAACTGTAAGTTCAGAAGATGGAGAGATAATTCAGAGTTAGAATGGTCAGGGAAGATCTTGTACAAAGACATGAGATTTGAACTGAGCCTCCAAGAGTGGCTAGGAGTTCGTTAGGCAAAGAGAGTGAGGGAAGCCTTCCACATTTGGGGAACAAGAATGTGTAGGATGTGTTTGGGGGACACTGCGTAGACTCAGCTAACTCAGGTTAGAGGTCACCTATAAGAGGGTCATGGGAAAAAATAATCAAACCAAGCCATTAAGTTCAGTTCTGAGAATAATTTGTGAGTGAAGCTTAGAGCAGCATTTAACAGCAAACAACACTTGTCATTGAAAAGTACTCATTCTGCTACCACCACCTGAGGTCGGTTATATTATAGGAAGGTTTTTGTTCCTTAAAGGAATATAAAACATCTGACACAACTATATCAAAGGAACATGTCTTTTAATGCACTTACTGTTTTGTGTTAGGCCTAGCTGAATGCTGTGTTGGTATTTGACACCTATTATTTTATGGTGCTAAGGACCAGCTAGTGATGTGGTTTTTCCTCTTCAAGATAAAGGGGGAGACCAAGTTGTTAATAGTACTACTGTTCATTTAAAAATAATAATAGCCAACCTGGGGTAAGCAATTTTAGTTGACCTTGGAGAATGTAATTACACTGTTTTTTCTTGGTGCATTTCATCTTAACATCATAGACCATGGCGGGCGGTGGGGGGGTAGCCACCACTTCCCCCTCACAGATTGAACCTAAGAGATATGACAAAGAATGACAATTGAACAAAAACATCTGATTCACCAACTTCATCTGACATTATATACAATGATCTGTCCCCATATCTTTTAGGAAGGGAATAGTGTGTTTTATTTTATATTCTCTTAGATTTTCAGTTGTTTTTTGGTTATGTCAGAATTTAAAGAAGTACCCCTTTCTTTTGAGTACCCAGTTTGCCACAAAAAAGTAGAAGCAGTATTGAAGGTGTTCATTTATCTCTAATCTTAATATGAATCACTTGATTCATACTAAATGATACTTTGTATTAATCTGAGGTAGTGTTTATCTAGTTTCAAAAAATCTCTTTTTTTCCCCTCAGGTTGGTTCAAAAAAGGAGGTTGCTGAATGTAAGGAGAAATTTGCCACCTCTAAGGACCCTACAGTCAGTCAGAGCTTCATGCTAGATAGGGTATTCAATCCTGAAGGAAAATCTTTGCCACCAATGAGAGGATTCAAGTACACCAGCTGGTCCCCAATGGGCTGTGATGCTAATGGGAGATGCCTGTTGTCAGCACTGACCATGGACAATCGATTGACTATCCAGGCTAACCTCAACAGACTGCAGTGGGTACAGCTGGTTGATCTAACCGAGATCTATGGAGAGCGACTTTATGAGACTAGCTACAAGCTCACCAGAAATGAAGCCCCAGAAGGAGATCTTGGGGACTTTGCCGAGTTTCAGAGGAGACACAGCATGCAGACGCCAGTACGGATGGAGTGGTCAGGCATTTGCACCACCCAGCAGGTCAAACATAATAATGAATGCCGTGATGTCGGTAGTGTTCTTCTCGCAGTCCTTTTCGAAAATGGAAACATTGCAGTGTGGCAATTTCAGCTCCCATTTATTGGCAAGGAATCCATCTCTTCATGCAACACCATTGAATCAGGGATTACCTCTCCCAGTGTTTTGTTTTGGTGGGAGTATGAACACAACAATCGAAAGATGAGCGGGCTCATTGTGGGGAGTGCTTTTGGGCCTGTTAAAATTCTCCCTGTTAACCTCAAAGCAGTTAAAGGCTACTTCACATTAAGGCAACCTGTTATTCTATGGAAAGAAATGGACCAGTTGCCAGTGCACAGCATTAAATGTATTCCTCTTTATCATCCTTATCAGAAATGTAGTTGTAGCTTAGTGGTGGCTGCTAGGGGATCCTATGTGTTTTGGTGTCTTCTTCTGATATCCAAAGCAGGTCTGAATGTTCATAATTCCCATGTCACAGGACTTCATACACTACCAATTGTTTCTATGACTGCAGACAAACAAAATGGCACAGTGTACACATGCTCAAGTGATGGAAAGGTTAGGCAGCTGATTCCCATTTTCACAGATGTTGCATTAAAGTTTGAGCACCAACTGATTAAACTATCAGAAGTATTTGGCTCAGTGAGGACTCATGGGATAGCAGTAAGCCCCTGTGGTGCATACTTGGCAGTCATCACAACTGAGGGCATGGTCAATGGTCTCCACCCTGTTAATAAAAACTACCAGGTTCAGTTTGTAACTCTCAAAACATTTGAAGAGGCAGCAGCTCAACTCTTAGAGTCTTCAGTTCAAAACCTCTTTAAGCAGGTAGACTTATTAGACCTGGTACGCTGGAAAATTTTGAAAGATAAACATATCCCTCAGTTTTTACAGGAAGCCTTGGACAAAAAGATTGAAGGTTCTGGGTCTACTTACTTTTGGCGTTTTAAACTTTTCCTCTTGCGGATTTTATATCAGTCAATGCAGAAAACCCCTTCAGAGGTCTTATGGAAACCCACTCATGAGGACAACAAAATCTTAATAACTGACTCTCTTGGGCTGGGCCATGCTGAGGAGGAACAACAGGAAGAAGGAACTTCTTTCAAACAAATAAACAAGCCAGGTGGTCACGAGAGAAACAAAGAAAGAGATGCTGAAGATCTAACGGACAGCTCACCAATCCAGTCTGGCGATGCAGGTCGTGAGCCAATGGAAGAAAAGCTCCTGGAAATCCAAGGAAGAATTGAAGCCGTTGAAATGCACTTAACTAGGGAGCACATGAAGAGGGTGTTGGGGGAAGTATACCTACACACTTGGATCACGGAGAACACTAGCATCCCCACTAGAGGACTCTGTGACTTTTTAATGTCTGATGAAGGCTACGATGACAGAACAGCTCGGGTAGGTGATAACTGATGACAGCAGTGAACTGTGTGAAAGGTCTACATTTCCCTCCATGAGCAAGACATAGCCATATCGGGATTCTTAAAGTGTGCCTTTTGCTTTTCACAAAACAGTCTTTTAAGTTATTGGCATTGTAGTAGAAAAATTAATGCGTGAGACTTTGGATGAATGCAAGGTAGATTCTTGAAACAAGGAATCTAGTGTCAGCGTAAGGCTTTTCTAGATAAATAGGTGCAAAAAGCTGCATTTAGCAAGGTATGTATTATGGGGTGGTCCTGACAAAGAGGATAAAAAAGATTATTGCACCCCTGTCTTTCTTTCCCTTCTCCCTTCCAAATGTTAGTTGTTGTATTTTGATTGCTTTTTTCTTCTTAATAGATTCAAGAATAGAGCTTTTCCCAAGTTAGAGATCAGGGACATGCAAAATATATGGGAAGTGTTACCTATATTATTTTCTTAAAAGACAGTAATAATAATAATGATAGCTAGAATTTATGTGGCATTTAAAGTTTGCAGAGCACTTTACAAATATCCCATTTTTATCCCCACAACAACCATGGGAGATTGGTGTTAAAATTATCCCCATTTTACCGATGAGGAAACTGATAGAGACAAATTCAGAGCCCCCACTGTCTGTTGCTTTCTGCCCTAGTGATTTGCTGTCATTGTTTAAAGTCTTTCTCCAGTAAAAATTGGAGATATAAAGTTCAAATATCACTAGCCTTCATGTTAAACCATGAATCTGTATGTATAGGAGAGTCATAGATTACTTATTGCTGCTTCTTTCCAAAGGGCTATATAATCTCTTGATATGAATTATTGCTCAGGTACAATTCAGAATGTTCATTAAAACACTAGTCTTATTTAAGTGTTTTTTCAAAGGCTGTTAACCCTATCACTTAACCCTATTTGCCTCAGTTTCCTCACCTGTAAAATGAGCTGAAGAAGGAGATAGCAAAGCACTCCAGTATCTCTGCCACGGAAACCTCAGAAAGGGGTCACAAAAAAAGTCAAGACGCAACTCAACAACAGAACCATAATAAAGTACTTTTCCTCCCTAGAATTTAAGGTATTTTATATTGACTAATTTATTTGGCTGAAATTTGGTGTGCTGGCATTATGTTCATATTAATGTGGTATAGCTCTGGACTAAGAGGTAAGAGACCTCACATTGTCAATTAATTTGCTTCTTGTCATCTCTTCACTATCAACCTCCCTTAATCTCAACCTGCTCCCCTCTAAAATGGAGGTACTGGCACCTGCTGTACCTACATTACAGGGATGTTACATGAATTAAATGACATAATACATGTAAAAGCACTTTGAAAAAACTATTAGTGGTATATAAGTTCAAGATCATATTGTTGTTGTTTGCCAAGATATTGAGAAATTTGCTTTTTTTTTTTTTTTGCATGAGTTGGGCAGCCACCACAAAGCCATTACAAAAGTGAGAAGTTTCTGCTAAACCTGCATCTTTCTATAGTTCATAGATTTTAATGTATGCAAGGGTATTTAGTAAATCTTTTTAAAATCCAAACTCTATGTGTAAGTGACTTGGGAGTTATTGTAAGTGTTCCTGATGATTTTGGCCTGTCACTGCTGCTAAAAAGGGCCAATAAAACACTTTGCATGTCACCAAGAAGGATATTTCAAAATAAAACAGAAACTCCTATAACCCTGGGCACGTAACCTCATCTCTCCTTGTCTTGGATGCCTTATCTGTGAAATGAGGAGATTGAACTAGGGGGCCTCTGAGGCTCTTTCCAGCTTTGATTCCTGTTCTCCAGACTTTAAGCTGCCCCTTATATTAAAACTCTAGCGGAATTCAATGCAGTTCTGGTTGCTGAACCTCAAGGGGACTGGAGAGTGATAGGAAGGATGGCTGAGGACTGTGCTATGAGGATAAACTGGAAGGGGGATTCTTTGCACTGAGAAGAAATGTAATTGAAATTTGTAACATTATGAACAACATGTGGATAAAAGTGAAACCAGACCTTTTAATCAAGTCTCTAAACAATGAGACAAGGGATATCCTTTCCAACTCAGTGAGGTACGTTTAGGACAAACGAAAGTTCCACTTCACACAGTGAATAATAAACTCATGGAACTCATTTCTTGAATAGGTAGTAGAGGTAAAAAAAAATGTGTGGCACAAACACACACATATACAAATGGATTCAAAAGCATTTGCTCATATTTGATGATAAAGAGAAACTAGGGTATATCTAACCTTTATGGTTGATATCAGGGAGAACAACTTGGTCCTGCAGCTCATCCCTTGGGACCTTTTTACCAACAGAATCCTAAGCTATATATTGATCTGACCTAATATGTCAATTCTTACTTGTAGGTTCTGATAAATTATTGCAAGGTAAAGTTAAATTTTTTAGACTCCTGATTGTTGTTTACCAAGACTGACATCCAACTGGATTTTTCTAGCCTCTTAGGAATACGCATTTAGCTAATTTTGCAAAGGAAATGGTGTTTTGAGCTATACTTCCTAACAATAACTTCCTAACATCCCTTCTATGAAGGGATGATTTTCCTTATACACAAACAACTTAATGATTGCATTACATTTTTCACAACCTGTAACAAAAGCTTCAGGTGCTTATTTCAAAAATACTTGAAAAGGGGGCAGTTAGGTGGTGCAGTAGATAGAGCATCGGCCCTGAAGTCAAGAGGACCAGAGTTCAAATTCAGCCTCAGACCAAACACTTGACACTTACTAGTTGTATGACCCTGGGCAAGTCACTTCACCCCAATTGTCTAAAAAAAAAAAATTTTCTTTTTTGAAAAAGAGGATGATAATATGTATTTGCTTTTAAGGGATAGTTTTTGCCTTAGTGAACTCAATCTGTGTTATTAATACATTACCATGAATGACTTCTGTTTCATTCAGTATTTCTTTCAGTTTGCCTAAGTGTGGTCAGTGGTGCAACTTCTTCCTTCGCAAGTACTATGGTTAGCCAATAGAGGATTATAAGTCTATCTACTTTTATCACATTGGATTTTAAGTTACTTTTTCTTTATTTGAATGGGATTTTTCCTTCTGAGGCATTCCCCTTTTGATAATGCTACATTCACCTCTAACTGTTGCTTCTGCTGTGTCTTCTTAGGTACTCATTGGGCACATATCAAAGAAGATGAACAAACAAACTTTCCCTGAACACTGCAGTTTGTGTAAAGAAATTTTGCCATTCACAGATCGTAAGCAGGCAGTTTGCTCCAATGGGCACATTTGGCTTCGGTAAGTGGGTTTATGTCAGCTCTGCTTTTGTGCTAAGTCCGTGCTTAGCACAACACCTGGCACGTAGTAGGTGTTTAATAAATGTTTATTGATTGGTTGATTGTTCCCCTTATAGACTAGAGCAAACAGCAGCCACTGACATGTTCAAGTATTACCCACTAAAGGAGTATGTTGTTCATAAGTTTATGTGGGGGAGTGACTGTAATTTTGGTAGGACCTGCCATTGACTCTTTTTCATCTATAGGTTAAGGAAGGAACAGTTTAAAATAGAATTTTCAAACTCATATGTAGTTTTCTTATTTATTTGGTTAGTGTTGTTTTTGTTTGTAATTGACTTGCTCTAAATGGCTTTCAGTCTTACTATTTTCCAGAAATTGTATTATAGAAAATTAAACTTTTTGTGAATTTCACGTTTTGAGCAGATTGACTCTTTCACAAAGACAGTTGATTTTTCTAATGAAAAAAGGAATGACAAAATGTAATTTCTAAATACTAGCATTGGGCACTTGTGGTGTTTTACTGTTAATTCTTCCCCCTCCAATTCTTTATTCAGTATTGGAACAGTTTCCCTCCTTATTTTCTAAGAAATATTCTCTGAGTAATCTGGAATGACCTATTATACTGCACCATCCCATTGCATCCCATCTTTCCTCACTTAGAATCAATGGATCTTCTGTATCTATGTTATGTCTTTTATGTGTTCTTTGTTATTTAAATTTATCTGTATTGCATTTTCCACCTCTCCCCTCTTCTTTCCTCCTCCTTCTCATTGCAACTAGCTCATAAACTTCTTCAAGTAGAGATGTTGACTAATAAAAATCACAAACTCAGTAGTGTCTAGAACATGCATCTTGTATGCTCTATAAATTTTTAACACGAGCCGAAGGATTTCATGGTCCAGCCATCTGTAAGGCAGATTTTGAATTCTTTCCAGACTAGGCAATGATACCTTTGAATTAATAGACAAATTGGAAGCTGCAGTTAAGAAAGATCCTGTCTATCCATAGTTACCCCTCATCAGTATCATTTTTAACTAATGTTGCCTGAGCATAACTCTCCATAAGCCTTTGCCCCATTGATCTCATCCCTTGTATGTAAACCTTTTCCTTGGCATATGCTAATCTTACTGGGTCACAGCAAGTGTGGTTTTTACTAGTATGGATGCCTAGATGCTGCTTTGAGCTTGTGATTATTTTTGTTCTTTCATCTTGGTTCATATCTTCTCAAAATAATTAGCTGCCTATGGTGAACCTCCAACCAAATACCATACTGCTCTCAGAATTTATTGGTTTGAATCTAGCAAACTTTTTCTCCTGACAATATAGTGTCTTCTTTCAGGTGCTTTTTAACCTACCAGTCCTGCCAGAGTTTGATATACAGAAGGTGTTTGCTTCATGACAGCATTGCACGACATCCAACTCCAGAAGGTGAGTGAGTGCCTTCTCTGGCTTGGAAGGATGGGATTAAAAATGCTGGCAGAATGCCCAGTCATCAGTATAACAACTCAGGTCAGGCTCAGAATCATTTTCTATTATGCAGACAGAGAGTGAAAGCAGGGGTAATATTCTGCTCTTTACAACGTTATTATTTAGCCACAGCTCTAATTAGAAAATGGTAATTGGAGAATGCCACATCTAGGTATATATTACATTTACTATGTGAATCAAGTGGCTCTGTGGTTTGCTATGGTGAGTGATGCTATGTTCATAGAGAGTGAACTCAGTCTAAAATATGACAGGGTTAAGACTTGGTTTGTGTGTGCAAACTATTGAATTTCATTGATAAAATAAGAAAAGTTCAAATGAGTTTGTTGTTTTTTTTTAGGCTATTGGGGTTAAGTGACTTGCCCAGGGTCACACAGCTAGTAAGTGTCAGGTGTTTGGTCTAAGGTCAGATTTGACCTCAAGTCCTCCTGACTTAAGGGACAGTGCTCTATCCACTAAAGATGACACTACCACTCTTCAGGAGGGTAGTTATTTTGAATTGTTTTTCCAGCGGTTAAGAATTTGTGCTGACCCATTCATCATCCCTTCTCCTTTTTTTTTCTCCTGCTCCTTGATCTAATTTACTATGTCCCATTATGTCTAGTTGCCCCCATTTATGTGGGAAGAGAATACAATATTTTAAGATAGGCTTTCTAGGGTTTTTTTTAAAAATATGTATTTTTAAAAATATTTTTACAAACAGTATTTCCTCTCCCATTGGAACAATTTTTTGAAAAAAAAACTTAAAACTCTCGTAACAAATATTCATAGTCTAGGAAAATAAGTTCCCATATTGGTGATGTAGAAAATTTTGTTTTGTTTGCATTTTAAGCTCATCCCTACTCTAACAGGAGGTGATCATTCCTCAGTACTCCTAGTTTATCATTTCATTGATTAGAATTTTAAATCTTTCAAAGTTGTTTTTCTCTATATTAATGTTGTTCTTGTATAAATTGTTCTCCTAGTCCACTCACTTCACTCTGCAACCTTTCATGGAGGTCTTCCTAGTTCCCTTTGAAACTGTTCCTTTCATCATTCTTTATGGCACAGTAATATTCTGCTACATTCATATGCCATGATTTGTTTAGCCATTCCTCAATAGGTAGACACCCCCTTATTTTCTATTTTTGGCTACTACCAAAAGAGCTGTTGTAGATATTTTTTAACATGTATGTAACTCCTTTTCCTCTTGCTTTGATTTCTTTGGGTTTAGGCCTAAGGTTTATATAGGTTAGTAATTTTTTGGACATAATTCTAAATTGCTTTCCAAAATGATTGGACTAATTCACAGCTTCACCAACAGTGTGCCAGTGTACCTGTTTTTCCACAGTCCCTCCAACATTTCACATTTTACTCCTTTTTTCTGTTTTCTTTGCCAATCCGATGGCTGTGAAGTAAGACTTCAGAGTTGCTTTCATTTGTATTTCTATAACTGTTATTGATTTGGAACATTTTTTATGTGGTTGTTGATAACTTGGGTATCTTCCTTTGAAAATCACCTATTCTTTGACCATTTATCAATTGGAAAATAACTCTTTAGTCTTATAAATTTAAATCAGTTCCTTATATAGCTTTTTTTTTCGTTTACTTACAGCACTTTTACTTTTCTGTACATAATAAAATGTTGGGCATTACAATTCTCAATTCTTAAAATGACTTACCAATTTTGGTATTCTACTGTCATGTGAGAACATTAAGGCAACCACAGAAATGTTACATAAATTAACTAGATGCACAAATTCAAAAGTTGTGAATGCAGACTTTTTTGCAACTCAAGGTTAAGTAATTTAACCCCATGATATTGGGGGAAAACAATGAATTAGGGGGGAAAAACTGGCTTCTAAGGCTTGGTTTTTCAGTATGTATTCCTGCTAGGATGGTGGCAAGATATAATTTAATAACCCAAGTAATAAACTCTTATTAGCCTTCGGAGGGAAATTCTGCAAGTCAGCTTTTTTAGATGCTGGAAATCTGACCTTTAGGTACCCTGTACAGACCTGATTCTTTATGGAACTAAAATGTACAGCTGTTGACTGTCAGACAGCCAGATACTGTATTGCCATATTATCAGGTCAATTCTGTATAAAAGTTAACTCTTAGCCTTACCTGTTGAAATGAAGTGACCTGTATTAGGGTTTAGATCAAAGTTATGTACAAGGTATGCTAAACACCAAGGGAACAACTGTTAACTTGAATATGAGGTCAAGTCAGTAACAGTTCAACAATCTAAAAAGTGCCAATATTTGTCTGATGTCAGATACAAATTTCCTCAAGGACAAGTTTCTTTTCTTTTTTTTTCCCTGAGGCAGTCGGGTTTAGGTGACTTGCCCAGGGTCACACAGCTAGTAAGTGTCAAGCCTCTGGTCTGAGACCAGATTTGAACTCAGGTCCTCCTGACTCTAGGGCCAGTGCTCTATCTACTGTGCCTCCTGGCTGCCCCAGCAAGTTTCTTTTCAAAGAAGGCTTATTCCAGCTTCATGAGGCTAACATGAAATGTGTATTTGCCAAGGCAAACATATACTTTGTGAATGCTCCTGCAGCAAATGCTGTGGATCTGCTAGCAGTCCATTTGGAAGTATTTGTGATGGACGATAGATGGGCCAGATTCATCATATTCCTGCTTACTGATCCACATATGCTGGAAAGTGCAGAGAGAAGCCTAAATAGAGCTACCAATTCAGATTAAATACTTATGTTAAGGGGAGCAATGATCTTCAATTTCATTGTGCTAGGTGCCAGGGCTGTGGTTTCTTTCTGCATTCTGTCAGCAATGCCAAGGTACATAGTAGTACCACCAAACAATACTGTGTTGGCATATAGATTCTTTTGGATATCAACATCACAATTCATGATAGAATTGAAAATGTTCTCATGAATGCCACAGTATTTCATACCCAGAAAGGATGGCTGGAAGAGGGCCTCTGGACACCTGAACCTCTCAGTGCCAGTGGGGATCACCTGGCCATTAGGAAATGCCTGCCTCTTCTCCAGGGAAGAGAATGAAGTAGCAGTGTCCATCTCCTACTTGAAGTCCAGGGCAGCATAGCACAACTTCTCCTTGATGTCATGAATAATTTCCCTTTCAGCTATAGTAGTAAAGCTTTGCCCGCTTTCTGTCAGTGTCTCCCATGAGGTAGTCTGTCAGGTCATGGCCAGCCTACTCTCGATGAAGGATGGCATAGAGAAGAGCGTAATTTTTATAGATAGGCACAGTGTGGGTGACACCAACACTAGTGTCCATAATGATGATAGTAGTACAACTAAAGATGTATAGAGACAACACAGCCTGAATAGCAACATACATGGTTGGGGTGTTGAAATCCTCAGACATAATTTGTATCATCTTCTCTCTGCTGGCCTTGAGATTTAGAGGAACTTCTATAAGCAGAACAAGGTGTTTCTCAGGGGCTTCACATTGTAGAAGGTATAATGCCAGATTTTCTCCATGTCATCCCAGTTAGTTACAATGCCATGTTCAATGGGATATTTCAGAGTCAGGATAACTCTTGCTCTGGGCCTCATCACCAACATAACTGTCCTTCTGTCCCATTCCCATCATGACACCCAGGTGTCTTGAGCATCTGATAATGGAGAGGAACATCATCCCCAACAAAGCCAGTTTTGCACATTCCAGAGCCATTGTTGATGAAAAGAACACCAATTTCTTCTTCCATTTTTGTTTAATCTGAGGCTGCACATTGTCCTACTAAGAGAAATTAGGGCTGGGGTGGGGTAGGAAAGAGAGGGAGACAAAGAAAAGGGGAAACATCCAAAGGAGCTTACAAAGTGCTGCCAGCTACCACTGAATGAATGTTCCTTATATGTCTTAGGATTGAGACATTTATCAAAGAAACTTGCTGCAAATATTTCCTGTTTCCTTTCTAATTTTAATTGCACTGCAATTGTTTATGTAAAAACTTTATAATTGAATATGATCAAAGTGGTCTGTTATATTCAGTGACCTCCTTTATTGCTTATTTAGTCCTGAACCCTTCCCCCATCTATAGATCTGAAAGGTAGTTTACTCCTTATTTTTCTGAATTGCTGAGGATGTCACCATTTATGTCTAAGTCATGTATACATTTGGGATTTTTCTTGATAAATGGAGTGAAATGCAGTAGACACATACTTTTTTGACTAATTGGTGGTTTCCTTTAGCATACATTCATTAAATGATTTACTAACGTTGGGATGCAAAGGGCAATTACTTGGCACAGTGGTTAGAGCACTGGGCTTAGAAGCAAGAAGACTTATCTTCATGAGTTCAAATGCAGCCTCAGATACTTACTAACCACGTGACCCTGGGCAAGTCATGTAACACTGTTTGCCTTAGTTCCTTGTCTTTAAAATGAGCTAGAAAAGGAAGTTGCAAACCACTCTAGTATCTTTGCCAAGAATACCCCAAATGGAGTCACAAAGAGTTGGACGTGACTGAAATGACTCAACAGCAGCAACAGTATTGGAATACATTCTGTGACCACAGAACAGAGGACTTCATAACTAGCCCAGGTTGATATCAGACATGAGACAATTGACTTTGTCAGTAGACATTATTAAGCAACAACACATTATACCAACTTCTAGGGTCTCCTTTAGCAAAAGTAGAAACACAGACCATCATAACCTCCTTCTCTGCTTTTAGCTGAACTGATCTTAATTTTATATTTAAAGAAGTAGAACTGTTTTTGTACTGAGTATTTTTTTTAACATTGGTAACAGTGAAAAATTCATAGCCTCTTTGTGCATCATTATGGAGACAGAAGAAGTGAACAAAAAACTACTAGTTTAATTTATTCAGAACCACTTATAAAAGTAAGTGTAAAATCTTGCCAGTTGGGAAGAATGTGTAATGATGGGTTAAAAGATTAGAGAAAGGAAGTGACTTGTCTAAGGTCCTAGTTTCTAACTTCCTCTCTTTTGTTTCTTCATTTCTTTTTCCTCCCTATACTCTTGTTATCTACTGTGATTTATAAAATCCATGTTTGATACCCCTTGTTTTCCTTTTCACAGATCCTGACTGGATAAAGAGGTTATTGCAAGGCCCTTGCCCATTCTGCGACTCCCCTGTTTTCTAAATGACAGTCATGGAAAGATGGAGAAGACAGTTGTTTTGCTATAAAAAACTTCCTTTGCCTGGAAGGAAAAAAAAGCACAGGAGTAAACTTTGCCTATATAAGAGGAGAGATGCTGTCCTTATTCCTATAAATAGGACATTGGAGACTCCTATCTTAGAGGCTCAGTTCCCTCTTGTCTTGAGAGGCGGAAGTGCATCTTTTTTTATATATCTGGATAATGAGGATTTGCTGAAGTATTTTTGAGATGACTGCAAGCTCTTCTTACCTAATGGACACTCTTATTTGGCATGTGTCTTTTGATGGAAAACAGCCTGGACAATAACCATCTCCTAACATTACTGGAAACCAGATGACTTCTTCTGACCAGCGAAGTCAAACTGTCCTTTTCTTCTTTGACTGGAGTAGTCTCCTAGATTGGGAGAGAGCATCCATCTTCTGATGGCTGACTTTTCACAAGTCCTAGCACCCAGCATACCGTCAAATCTTGAAGTTTCCTAAACTGTGTACAGTTTTGTTTTTTCTTAGCAAGTGGCCTGCATGCCTGCTGTAGCCATTCAGAGGAATCAAATTAGCATTTTAGTTTTTCTTTTCTCTCAAAATGAACAAACATCATCCTTTGCCTTTTGTGGTTAATACTGTGTTGGGACCAAAAGACTAAAATTGGTTTTGCTGTGCCAAATGAGTATCAGTTGGGTGGAGCTGTTATTGATTAATACTCATATATATATATATATATATATATATACATAACATTTTAATTAGCTATTCCTTCCATATAATCTGATCACATTAGCCAACTCTTAAAAATATATCAGGATTCCAAGTATTCAGGATTCCTTCTTTCATCCCTCTTTGATTTTGAAGTAAAATTATTTAATTGGTTATATTCTAGGCTCTTTGTTTTCTTTTGAAAGAAGGGAAAGAAAACCACTATTGTATTAACTTTATTTTTAGTAGTTTTAATTGTATGCATTTCTAAGCAAACTTTTAGCATCCAAGGAAGGGGTGTAATAAAGATGATCATAGAATATTCCTGAAAAAGGCAAGAAAGGGGAATCCTTGTCTAAGTTGCACTGATGCCAAAATATGCTCAGTCTAATTGAACAGAGCCAAGTAACTTGTATCAGATGCAAAATTTCTATATCCTTCTAACATAAACCAGGGTAATAAAATAATACTTGCCCTTGTTAAAACTAGAAATAGGCATTCTGGAATTGTAATAGGCTTGGATATGTGAACTGAATCATAGGCTCTGGACTTAGTCCATAGTTCAGTTATGTTGAAGTGGCTCGTACTTGTGTGGAAAGATGGGTGGAAACAGTAAACATTTCTTTCTTCAGTCAGATGCTGTTGGCAATATTGTTACCTGTTTCCATCGTAAATCCCACTTTTTCTTCCTCCAGTTTGATCCATGGTAGATTGTCTAATTTTGGTAATTAGATTTAGTTCTACAATATTGTTTTTAGCTATAAAGCTCTACAGACTAACATTCTATATCTATCTTGGCTAATTTGTGTCAGAGAACAGAGCACTTGAGGCATCCAAGGCAATATCTCCAGAGGCAAAAAGATCCCCATGACATCCTTCTGCCCAGCAAACTAGATTTTAATTCCTGGCCTTGATCTCTTACTCACTGAACTCTTCTCCTTGTCCATGTCACTTTGAGAGCAGTGCTAAGAATAATGCTTTTTATCAAGGCTTCAGGATCCCAAACAGTGTGGTGATTTACAGGAGAGAGCACTGGGTAGCAGCAAAGTTCTTAAAAAATACAAATTTTGAGAAAATAGTAGTGTGGCTGAAGTGCCTACAGTATTTTTTTTTTCACTTGGCCACTGTAAGAATCATGTCAATGAAGGAATTAAGACAGACCATGGCCAGAAATCCCTCAAGTGTTGTTTGTTTGGGGCAAACTGGTTTATTAGTAAATGGCCAGTTCTTATCATATTAATAAGTGCCATTTAAATTTTGACATTTAATTTTTATTTAAAATGTTTCTTATTGTCATAGTATTTAATGAACCATGTGTTCTTGAGTACAAGAAACCAATTGAAGGAGAGTCCCAAGTTTCTTTGTGTGTCTTTTTAGGAAGCCATTTTCCAGGTTGGAGATACCTCAAACAAACTGACTGATATATGGGACTAGATCATAGCATTAATTCTCCTTCAATGGAGCCTTATCTAATGAGAATCTTGCTTCCTCCGGGAAGCCTGTCCCAAGGGAATGTTGAATTGTGGGGAGGAAAGAGAAAGGTTTGAGTTAATAGTCCACCCTCACTTAGCATCATAATGATCCCATGCTACTAAATATGTTGTCTTCTGAGGGTCAGCTCACCCCCACGGTATCACTGAGGGACAAACTGGCATTGCTGCCACATCTTTGGGGTTGCTTTCAAATTCTCAAATCAGTGAAACCTTTGAAAATGAGTGTCTAAGTGAACCCAAATATTGGCCTGGAATATTGATCACATGTGTCAAATTGTTTACAGAGAATGTGAGAAGTTTACAGAATCTTAGTTCATAAAACAAACCTGTTCTATCTGACTCAAATATGACTATAATAACTGTATTTCAGCACTGAAGAAGGTACTGGAGGTGATAACTGCCGCATTGCATTTAAAGTGCACTAGCAAAGATGACACGAAACTAGACCTTTCAGTTGAAACACTGTTGCATTTTGGGAGTCTGATATCCACGTATGTATCACATTTTCTCTGCCTGGGGTTAATTTGTCCCTATTATCCTAGATAAGTAATTGATAGCTTGTTATGCTTGGTATTCATTCTGAAATCCTCATGTGTCCACCACTCAGACTTAAAGCAAGCTCTCCCTAGTACTATATCTGCCAAAATTACCAATTATTTTTCATTGTCAGAAGTTATTAGAACCATTGACGATGCTAGTGTTTGAATGTGACATTTTCTTCCTCTCCCCCTAAGTAGTTTATCAGAATGTTAATGTTGTAGCATGTAGGTTGGATATATTAGCAAACTTAACAGGTTGATTAGGTTAAAACAATGTAAAGGCATAATGATTAAATATTAAATTGTATTCTATTCTAACTATAATAGCCTCAGATAAGACTATAGGGAGAGTGACACTTACTAGTGCTTGTTAAGAGACCTAAACTGAAATGATGGATTTGTAGAACATCTGCTCAGATTGTAGCAGTTATTCTATCTGTTGAATTGACGATTAATTCCTTCCCGGATGAACTAGTGGTATTGATTGCTTTGCAAAAGGGCCATGTCCATCTTGCCTGCTGCTGATTCCCCCTGCCTTTTTCTCCTTTCTTCCAAAGAAGAATTGCTTAATTTTTAAGTTTTGCGGTCAATGTAACACAAATTCATAAAGCTAGCTAAACAATTTTTAAGGTTTTTTTTTAATATAGCAAAAGGAAAATTTCAAAAACCAAATCACATAATAAAAATTCTCCCCTCTTTTAAAAACTATAATTCAATAGCAATATTTCTTTGGGGGGAGGAATTCATTATTAATAACTTAAATATTCTTTATTTTTCTTCAAAACATTGTTTGATATGTTACCCTTCCCTGGAGTATTTCTATTTTAACGGGGGAACAATCCCTTCACTAAAAAGAATGAAATTTCAAGCTAATTGCAGGCATCAGGGCCAGACCAGAGTGGGAGCTCTCCCTGGTTTGGATACAAATCATATCCTATAGGTAGCTGCCTATGCACCAGGATAAGCAGCTCCTTTAATACACTATCCCTTCAAAGAGTGATTATGGGTTTAGGTTGAGCCTCTCCTTCCATAACAAAGGAGAAGAAGCTAAAGAGAGAGTAAAAACGTAAATATGCTGCTGTTTATTATAAATCCCTAAATGAAGATTTTGTGCAGGAGTAGATAACCAAGATGAGATTCCTTCAGTTGGGCTAGATGGGCAGTGACACCTGGGGGCAGAGTTGTAAAGAATTAAGCTGCCTTTGTTAGAATGAAAGGGCACACATGAAGAAGAATAGAGGATTCTAGAGGATTCATTGGAAGTGTGGAGCATAGGCAAAAAGTTGGTCAGAATAGCGGAAGACAGGATAAACAAAATTGGGGTGATGAATCAAAAGAACAGGAGCCTTGAAGGAGCCCATATCTAAGGCCAGAAAGAATATAGGACAGGACGCCCTAGGAAAGGTAGTGGGACACCAGCTGATTTGGCAAAGAAGATGTTTCCCAAAGTTAGCTCACTTTCAGCTAGAAGCCAAGTATTGGGGTTAGATTGGGCTCTGAAACAAGTGAGGACAGAGGTGCAAAGGAAAGAGCCTTAGGCTTGGGAGCAGGGATCTGCCTTTGTCCTTTGTGCCCATGTGACCTCAGGCAGGTCATTTCACCTCTCTGGGCCTCAGTTTCTTCGTCTATAAAATGAAGGGATTGGATTAGATAACTTCTAAAGTCCCTTCATATGAAGCCCTTAAAAGCAGTCTCCTTGTCAGAGTATTTGATAAATTGTGTAACTGTGTCTTACGTCCAAGTAGGAAATACTGGTTTTTTCTTGTCCATGACTTCATGGCAGTGAACAATTTCTAAAAAGTTTTAAAGGGATATTTTCCATGTCAACAGCCTTAACTTGGCTCACATCCTGAAACTAACCTTGTAGTGTCCCTCCTGCCTCCAAAAAAAGTCTCTTCCATCCCTCTCCCCCATGAAGCCTAGATTATACAGATAATAATTAAAATGACTTTTTACAACTCACCTGCTTTGAATTTTTTAAAGGCACTGGCGCCTGTAAGTCATTGCATGACTTCCTTAAATCAGTATGTATTTATTTTAGTGCCCTGCTTTCCTTGGTACTGGTCAGCCTTGGTGACTAGCTCAAGAATCTAATCATATCTCCTAAGAGATTACTAGATTAATAATTAGATATATAATAGCTGCTAAATGATCTAACAGAAATTAATTGAATTCATTCACTATTAGATAATAGTCTCAAATTTAGAATAACAGTGTAGTTCAAATTTTCATGGAGGCAAAATTGGCCTGTCATGAAACTAAACAGCATTTTTTAGGTTAGTGTGAATTGCTTCAAGGCTAATGATATTACATTTTCCATCCACTTCCCCCCTCCCCCAATAATTTGTGAATTGTGAATGTCCTTAAAAAGTATGTAAAGCTATACTTTAGGGTAGAGTTTAGAGTTCTGCATATGTTAAGAGTGAGATGTAGAACTAAAGTGTCTCTATTCTGAGGAAGACTAAAGATTCTTAGGAGTATTATTAGCTCTTTTATAGGGAACAGATACAAAGTCAACGCTTTAGGCCCATTATGTCCCTCTGACAGCCATTTTTATCTTTTCTTAAATAATATCTTTTCTGTTCTTTATATAGTGCTTCTAGGTTTGCAAAGCACTTTAAATCGATCATCTCATTTGATTCTCACAAGAGCCCTATGACATAAGTGCTATTATTATTCCCATTTTATAGATGAGGAGACTGAGGATCAGAGATTAAGTGACTTGTCCAGGGTCACACAGAGCTCCTGAGGTGAGATTCAAAACCAGGTATTCTTGACTCCAAGTCCAACCCTCTGTCCATTTGGCCATGCCTTAAATAATATGTTCTTGAGAAGTTTTGTGTGAATTCAATTTTTATAAATAATAACTCTTTTCAGTTCTACAGGGGAACTAGATGTGTAAAAGAGTCCTGTGATTAATCCTTTTACAATATGAGTCCTATTGCTTGCTTTGTTTTAAATTCAGGTTTTTTATCTTGGGTTTTCTTCAAGTATTCAGGGATACTTTGACATTTGAATCCAGAGGAAGGCCTCCTGACATTGGTGATTCATTGGGACAGTTCTTGCCTCTCAGGAAAGAAACTTCCATTTAATTTTCTGACAGCCTAAAAAAATAGCAAGTATGAGCTTTCAGCTCCAGGTTTTTGTGGGAACTTTCCAGGGACTGAGAGTTCATAGGTTTATTTGGGTAGAGCTGGGAGAAACGAAAGATCCATCAGTTGCCTTATAAACCCACTTGGATTTTCTGTGCCCCAGTTTCTTTGTAAATGGGGAATGTTTCTGTCTATCCACCTCCTAAGTTTGTTGTGAAAATGAAGGTCCAAACAATCAATTATGTAAAGGTCTTAAAAATTGTGAAGTGTTACACAGATGTAAGATATTATTTAATCCTATAATTTTAGTGCTAGAAGACTCATAAAAAAATTAGGAAACCTTAGATCATTTAATTCAATGGCCCCTTCATTTTAAAGAAAAGGAAGCAGTTGACCAACTCCAAACAACTGAAATAAGGGAGTGGTGGCTTAGAATTAAGACCTAGTGTCAGGTTTGTCAACTGCAAAGCAATAACTAATTGGTTTGAGAATTCAATTTTGAGATTGGGTTTGAATCTTATGTTGATTTTAAGATGCAAAATAGCTCATTTAAATGTGTTATAATCGTACCACTGCAAACTTCTTAAAGTAAAAAAGTTCCTGGGGCAGCTAGGTGGCGCAGTGGATAGAGCTCCAGCCTTGGAGTCAGGAGACCTGAGTTCAAATCTGGCCTCAGACACTTGACACTCACTAACTATGTGACCCTGGGCAAGTCACTTAACCCTGATTGCCTCACCAAAAAAAAGCAAAAAAAAAAAAAGTTCCAGAGTTTGGCTCTTATGAGCAACTAAGTATAGTTGAAGTTCTGCAGTTTCACACCTTACCACCCTACTCATCTTATAAAAGACAGACTTGCTGCCTGGAAGCAAGGAAAGGGCACATTAGTTAAAGGGAAGTCAGCCTGATGAATGTTTTTTATATTGATTTGTAAGGTGTTTATAAATAGTGCCAGAGAGTAGACAACCCCAAAATTAAAATTAGAGGCATTGGAAATAGTCTGGATTTGACATTGGAAGACCTTGGTTCAAATCTCAGCTCTTCTACTGAGTGGGTAACCTAGAGCAAGACATTTCCCCTCTATAAATCTGTTTCCTCTTCTGTAAACTGAGGGGTTTGGACTGGACAGCCTCTAGGGTTCCTTTGAGCTTGAAATCCATAAACCTTACTTGGAATCATGAAAAATGTTCTAAGAATTGTTGCACTTGTGTGTGTGACCCATTTGTGTTGGACACAGATGTTCTTTCACATGCAAGAAAGGTGAATACCAAAATCCTTGAAGATAAATGACAGTTTAAAAAAACAAGACTGTATGTAAATAGAGATCTATAATGGATTTTTCCTTTAAATCAACAACTGTACTAATCTTCAACCATGTGCTCAGCTTTGAATTGTACAAAGTATCTATGAATATTTTTATGCTAATTTTCAAGCAAATGGAAGGTTTGTCAGAAAGCTTAGGGATATGGAAACAAAATGTTCTTACATCCTTACAGTTGGGTTTAAATAAATATTATTTTTCTGAATAATAAGACTTGGGGCGAAGGATGGGGAGGGAGTATTATTTTAAAAAATATATATAATCCTTTATTAAGAACAGTATCATTAGGTGGTGACCTAATGTTGGGTATATCCTTTATCCAAAAAAAAGACTCAGAACTGCTGTAAGTCTTTTAATTGTATGTGTATATGTAAAAAATGTGGATTACTAGATTGTAAGCTCCTTGAGGTCAGGGAACATCATTCATTTTTTTATCCCCAAGCACTTAACAAAGTGCCTTGCACATAGTAGGCATTCATTAAATATTTGTTGAATGAATGAGTCTTTGTGACCTTCAAGATGAAGCCTAATTCACTTTTTTCAGTGCTTTCAACACTTCAATTAAAGACTGGAAGAGGACTAAAGAGCCTCACATTTCATCTAGAGCCATAATGGCATTTGACTGATGTGGATTTGGCTATATTTATTCCTGGAAAACTACCTTGACACATTAGTGTCGTGGGCTATTTAATAGTCACAATGGTGTTCTCTTGGGAAAGGTTTGGAGTCAGGAAGGTTGTGGAGGGAATAAATGCATAAAGCGCTATTTCTGTTGTTTTCCTTGAGCAGCAGGCCCCATTAGAGAATCGGAACCTAGATCTGTTCCTTACAACCCAAGCAAAGGATAACAGAACTTTCATTTCTTATGCCTAAAATGTTCAGGTGTTTCTTTGCCAGGCTGATTGTAGGGTCATTTTATTTGCTCATTTGTCCATCTTGGATTCACTTCCATTTCCTATATGATTCTGGTATTGGAGTCAAAGTTGCTGTGAATATTTGGTGCTGTACATAATGGCAGTTTTGTAAACGTGATGCAATATCTCATGTTGTGTTTTGTATACAGAGCCAGTAGTATTGTTATCCTGCCCACTTTTTTATTCAAAATAAATAAATAACCAAAATCTTTGTATTTTGTATGTCTGTGTTTTATGGGGTTCCTGTACCTTGGGGTAATGCTTTTAACCTATTTAGCCCTCGTGGCCAATAATCATGAGTATCATTGCCAGACCTAAAACATGGGCAGGGAAAAAGAAAAGGAGATAGTAAAAGGGAGATAAAGAGGAGAGATGTAAATATATTAGAAATGGGGCCCCCATCAACTTCCTTAGTTTCAACTTAAGTTCATCACTGTCCTGGATTATCTATCTCAGAAATTTAGGAGGAATTAAAGAGAACAGGTAACATTTGAATCCTGCCACTGCCACTGGAGATGCTGAGACCGTTTCTATGGCGATAAAGTGGCACTCAGAAAACCACCTGTGGTCCTTTGTTTTAAGGGGTACTTTGTATTATTTTTAAGGACAATATAAAATATGCCTACATGTTTGCAGAGAAGCACCATAGGCCATGGAGAAGGCAATATCTTCCCCAGAATTTTTGCAAATAATTTGCTTTCCTTAACTTATATAGAAACTGCTTATCACTGTCATCAGGTCTTACACATGTATGCAAACCATTTTATTTCAACCAGTTTCACCCAAGTGTTACCACATCACACCACCAATTATTCATCTTTATCAAGACAGGAATCTTTATCTCTGAATTCATCATTTCCTAAGGAAGGGACAGCATGGTTTGTTACAGTAGAACAGCTAGCATTCTGAACCCTTTCCAGCTCCTGAATCTAATTTGCTTCTTTCCCTGATTCTCTCTATCTCTCTCTCTCTCTCTCTCTCTCTCTCTCTCTCTCTCTGTCTCTGTCTCTCTCTCCTGTTCTCTTATAAATAAAGGTAGAAGAAAGCAGAAGAGGAAAATATGGTAAGGTTGGTCTAATTCTGCCTCTCCACCTAGAGAGGTTTTTAGGAGAGCAAAGTAATATTGCTCATAAAGCTCTGGACTCAAAACACAACCTTTGTCAGAATAAACAAGGAACTTGAAGGAATAGAAATTCTTCTGCCTATAAACTTCAAATCAAAATAACTTGTCTACTGAATGTTCATGTAAGATGGCAGTACATAGAGTAGATATAGACCAAGAGCACATTGATATTAACCTATTTTCACCCAGTTGAGTATCTACATGGTTATTTAAATGAAAATAAGACACATGCATACTATTTGATTGGTATAAAGTAGGCCAAAAAATTAAAATGCAAACTAAAGAGTGAAATATTATGTATATATACATATGTATATGCTTAAGTATTTTTAAATGAACTTAATAATAATGCCAGGTAAATTTATAAAACTTGTATAAATGTCTCCAACCCTGGAGAAGCTGGCATGTGGCTGGCTTGAGACCTGTCATTTTCCAGAAATTTCATCAGACTGGACTCCCTACTGTGTTTAATCACTATTAAATTAGACGGGTTTTTAAAAGAAAGAAAAAAAACTTTTAATTTTGAATCTCTCTCTTAAGCAGTTAAAAAAAGAGAACATACCTGCCAGTTGCCTTAGTCCAACTCATCACACTATCACATTGGTTAATGAGATGCTACCTTGCACTTAGGGGGCTTAGAGGAGGAAATGGTGGGTAGCAATTTCCCTTTTTTTCAGCCTAAAACAAGCAAAAGTCCTAAGTGTAGAGGAAGAAAGGGTAATAATGTGGGTCAGGCCATAGAAATGCATTTCAGCCACTAGCCCTTTTACCTGAAATTGAGAAATGCCTTACCATATATCAGATCGTGACCCATGCAACCTAAGATTAACTGTTATAGAATGGCACCAAAGGAGATTTGGTTGGGAAGACTATGGTTTTCTGTGACGTGAATTTCATAATGTTAGGGCATAGATTACAAAACATCCTGATTTGCCTTAGTAACCATACACTGCATTTAACCAGCTTGTAGTCACAAATATATTTAACCTGCTAAAATGAAGGCTTAATATTCTGGGTAGCAGTGACTCTCGAAGTACACTATAATAATTCACATCTGTAGTACTTTTATCACAACTGCTTTGTGAGGCAGGTCACACATAAGGTGAGGCTCAGTAAGATTAAAAGATTTGACCATGATCACACAGTGTCAAATTTGGGATTAAACTGAGGTCTAA